GATGTATAATCCCACTATCTGTCACTCAGAAGAGGACGGGTTCCATATAGAGTCTGGTTCCTGTCAAGGTTTCTTCCTCATGTCATCTCAGGGAGGTTTTCCTCACCTCTGTCTCCTCTGACTTGTTCATTAGGATCTACATCTACAGCCAGGTTTCTCTAAAGCTGCTTTGTGACAGTGTCCATTGTTATGAGCTCTATACAAACAAAAATTGAATAAAATTGAATTGAACTGTAACAATGAAAGGCTTTAAAAAGTCTTTTTCACAGTCTCTGTGCCAGTGAGAGAGAAAGCAAGTGAATCGGAAATGTGCAAATGAACGTTGGTGTTTTAATTAACTCCGAGTTAAAACGGCGTGAAATTAAAAGTGATTATTGCTAAAGTAAATATGGCTAATTAGGATACAAGGCCCAGCAGTTCAATATTTCAAATCCATTAAATATTTGAGAGTGGGCCGAGTATGAAATGGGGGTTTATTCTGCTAGGTACAGAAATTATTTTGTACATTGCCAGTGTGCTTCTGTGGCTTTGAAGAAAAAATACACTGTTTTTGACTGAAAAATAATAATAATAATGACATAATGTTTAAAATAGGATTTGTTCTGCTGTCTGACTAATTTTTTTTTTAAATAAATAATGACAGCCATTCTCATGATATATAAGGTCATACTGGCTGTGTTTCATTTGTAGGTTTATCATTTTTCACCATTTTTCGAGATATTATTGGAAACAATGGTTTTGTTCAATACCACACCATATATGAACTATAATTTGTACTTATTTCTGAAAGCAAAGTGGTGAATATAAAATACCCATAATGCATTGGTCATTATAATGAATAGGGTGTGTGGATTGGGACATGCCCACAGTGGACTGATGATGATGTTTATGTGGACTATATAGTCGATAGTGGACTGAGGGCGTGTCCCAATCCACTGATTTCTTCACTGAATAGAAATAAAGGTTTCTGGAAAAGTCACGACTGTACAGAGTGCTGAATATTCCACGTTCTGTAGAGTCCAAAAGTCTGAGTGCATTAATATGAAGTTCACTACTGACATTTTATTTCCTCAGTTATTAAAAAATAAATTCTCAATTCATACTTAAATGAGACCCCGTTGCCTCCTATAGCCTCGTGTTGATTTCCTCGGATAAAATGAAGCACATTTGTTCTTCTTTTTATTTACTGTACAGCTGAAATGCTTTCTGTGAGTCTGTGGTCTGATTTCTCTCTCTCTGTCCCCTCCGGATCATAAAGCTTAATTCACCAATCAGCATTCATCGCAGTGTTCACCTCAGAGAGGCGTTGTGTCAGTACATGTTCCCATGGCAACACCACGACCTTGATAACACATGGAGAGATTGGAAATGACATGAACCGTGTATAACCACAGTGTACAGCTCTGATCTGGGACACGTGGGAATCATGTGGCCTGTGGAGTGAATAAGGTGTGTGGTTTGGGACTCGTCTGTAGTGTTTTGAGTTAAGCGTACAGTGAGGATTTAATACTGAAATTGCACACATTGGTATTCAGACTTGAGCTCTGTTCAGAAGTTACATGAGAGTTACGCACACAGAGGCGGAGTTTGTCTAAAACAGAGGCGAGAGTTTGTATTTAAAGCTGGTGGTCTAGATGCCAGTAAAAATCCCCGTCTTGGACACTTTTACTCTAGAAAAATCTGGCAACCTCAGAGGAGTGACCTGTTGCTTCTCATAATCTGAATCAGATTGGAAAACCCAGAAAATCGACTTCAGCTGCTGCATAACTCCACTCTGAGTACGAGGAACTTTCCTGATGTGCCACTTTGACATATGGTTTGAGACATGACCACAGAGGACTGAAGAAGGTGTTACTGTGATCTGAATGCTAATGTACTGTCACAGATTGATGATGTCACAAAGTGTTAACTTTTTCATCTGTTCATTTTTATTCTCCCTAAAACATACATGGTGATGATTAGTCGAGCCGAGGCTGAGCCACACCTCCATCCCATCTCAGCCGAGGACAGAAATCGATTATTGTTTAAGCAGACGTCTGTCCCGACGTCCAGCGATCGATACAGAGACGTATTACAGAGCAGACGCTATTAACTGTACAGAACAACACATCCATTTTTCATTAAAGGACAAAGTAAAGGAGCGACGCTGCTAAGGGCTGTGACTGATGCAGCACCCGAGGCCTCGTTCACAACCACCACAATGAGTCTGAGGAGCAGAAATGATCAGACATCTATGTGATGGACAGACAATTCTCACTTCCTGTTTTTTTCTCCTATATGCTACATGGAAGAATATGTTCTCACATCTCCTCAGGATCATTCTCTCAAAACATAATCGTTTGCATCGTCATCACCTGAAGACTTTCCTTCAGAAAGAAAACTGCATTCATCATCTTCTCCTTTTACATTCACTTAAAAAAACAAAAGCCAATCACATGTTCAGAAATCATCTCACGAGTTTTTGCATCAGCAGTGACAAATTTATTTATTATTTCTTTAAATTGGCCAAAAAAAATCTGTGTTTTGTTCTCACCTGTTGTTGGTTGGAACATCGTTAAACCAATTTATGACTAAAATTAAACTGGTTAAATAATACATTTATGTTAATTTATTTACTAAAGAACAACACGTCATACTTTTTTTTTTTTATCTGTTTTTTATCTGTGGTGCTGCTGTTTATAACTAATTTCTACCTTAAAAATACAAAACTTCTGCTTGTTCATAATCTAGATAAAATAACCAAATCTTTTTTCACTGCTAAACTGTGAAGCTACGCCCGAGTGGATTTGCAATTGTTTTTTTTCAGCCATGGAACACAACTGAATCAAGATTTTATGCCAAATATTTCTTAAATTATTAAGCAATTACGCTTAATAATTGATCTTTCATGATCTTTCATCGCCTCAGCAGGTTAATACACAAGTTTATAAGAACAAAGGCAGAATCTGATAAATATAAATGTCCATCAGTGTTAAAGTGAAAGCCAGCATCATGTGTGTGAAATAAATGTTCAGGGAAATGGATTTAATGTGAGAATAATTATAAGATGGCCTTCAGCAGAATTTTGTGGAATGCCATGTTGTACTTTTTTTAAACATTCTGAAGAATCATGTCCATTTATTCTACTAAAGTGTAAGTGGATAAATGTCTATAAAAGTAAATACATGACAAAAAATGAAATCTGTCAAATTTATATTTAAGAATTAAAAACCAGCAACACTGCCTTGCTTTCAGCTCTAACTGAAAGTCACTTTGAAACGTCATCAGGTTTAAAGTCTCAGTGCATTAAAAAGATCTGGTTTTATTCAATCATTTATCAAAAAAAAAAAAAAAACATCACAGAAAAACAAAAAGAATTCTCCTTATTATTCAGGAATCGATTATTTAACAGAGATGCAGAGTCAAAGTGTGTTAGAAATCTTCATATGAAAGTAAAATCTCTCAGAATACGTCAGAAATAAGATTCCAGAGCTGAAGGCGATGAGTTACGTCTCTCTGCTAGCAAATAAAACCTCCAAAGAAATTGCTCCACACTGTTCTCACAGCGAAGGTCGAGTGTGTTCCTGCCGAGCAATCCACTCACTGTCTTTGTGCTGCAAGTGGACACTTCAGAGTGGTTAGGGGAAGTGGACAAGGACACACTGAGAGCACTAATGTCTAAACTGTGTTATCAGTGCTCGGGTGTTTATTCTTCCATACTGCGCTGATTTATTACACTGTTCCTCACACACACACACACACACACACACACACACACAGAGTAATAATATTTTTCGTTTGTGCTTGGCTAAGTCACGAGCTTTACTCAGAATTACAGATTTGTTTTTCCTCGTCTCTGACGTTTCTGCTTACGGCTTACGTTTCCTTTTCCTCCTCCACTGCATCTGCATTTGTGCTGCTCACTACCTGAGTCAGGTACATGTGTTATTCCAGGATGACAAGGTGACCCACACACACACACACACACACACACACACACTGAGCCTCTGAGTGTGCAGCTCTGAGATTTACACACACACTTTAATGAGAAGAATGTAATTAGGGAGAGTTCTAGTGATATGTGAAGAAGAGGAGACATAGGCCGTTATTCTAATCTTATGTCTCTCTCTCACGCACACACACACACACACACACATATATATATATATATAAATATACACACACAGCTCACATTCATTAATTTTACTCACTGATGTAGAGCGCTCGATATATACGATGCATACTCCAGAATTAAGTGCCCCCTTTACACTCATTTATTTTAATTTTTCCTTCCAGAAGAGGACAGTTTCTATTTTGAGTCTGGTTCCTGTCAAGGTTTCTTGCTCATGTCGTTTTCTCTCATGAGGTTTTTCCTTGTCACTGTCACCTCTATTTTGTTCATTAGGGATCTAAATCTACCTCCGGATTTGTGTAAAGCTGCTTCATGACAATGTCTACTGTTAAAATGTCTATATAAATAAAATGAGATTGAATTGAAGCGCTCTGAGTAACACACTCGTCTGATCTGTGACATCATTAATGAGCTGAGATCACGCGTCACCTTCACCAACACAAAGAGCTGCTGTTATTAATCTTAAATATCATTAGGTCCTGACTGATGCTGACTTTGGTACTGTTCTGGATTTTTGAGCTCCTTCAGACCTCAGGTTCCCTCACTGTGGACTGGATATGAATTTGTTTATCAGTAAACCTTTTTTTATCACAGTCTTGATATGTAATTTTTTCATTTTCTTTATGTCTCTGGCTTTCACAGATGTGTGTTTGATGATAAAATTGCATAAACTGCATTTCTTTTCTTGGTTTTTTGAAGATAAGTGCACCATCGGATTACTTAAATTACATTCACGTCTGGACAGAAATTACGGTCTGCTTTTCCACACTGTGGCTGAGCACGTAGTGATAGAAGGAGAAATAAACATCTTCTTCTCTGTATAATGAAAACCTGTTGTGTGTTTTAAGCATTTGATTTTGCCTAGATCATTGTACTGTACTCTGTTGGGTCCTGGGAGGACTAGAGGTTAGGCCTCAGCGCTCTCACTGCCACGGCCCGGGTTCGATTCCTGTCCAGGGAACCAACCGCAGCCACTGGGGTTACACACAATAGTGTACTTCCAGTACAGGTCCCAAGGCTGGATAAAACTGGGGAGGGTTGCATCAGGAACGGCATCCAGTGTAAAAACTGTGCCAAATCAAATATGCAGACCGAAAGAACAACAACAACATTGTACTGTACTCTCTTGCTGTCAGTTTGTTTGATTTGTTTGATTACTGCAAGTTTGTTTGATTGCCTGATGCGCTGGTTTCGATCTCCTCTGAAGCGTCTATGCCGTATATTAAAGCAGCAGGCAGTTACAGAGTTGCTAAGTGCAGCACTTCACACACGTCTGTGCTGTGTGTGTTTACTCGCTTGATAAACTCATCTGCCCATGTGAGCTGTCAATCAAACAAACGGGCAGGCATTTGATTAGATTTGAAATGCAAAGCACAGTGTGTGTGTGTGTGTGTGTGTGTGTGTGTGTGTTTGTGAGTGAAAACTTTTCCACGTTGACTGCGTTTTATTAGATTTGACTAATACACATCTGTGTGAGTGTGTCTTTGCGCTGTTGGGGAAAATTCCCTCCAAGTTCTCCTCCTCTGCCAATTAGAACACAGCTTGTGATCCAATTAATTACCTCTCCTAAACTAGATCAGAAGCAAGTGTGTGTGTGCGTATTATTTTGTTTTTTTTAAAACCAGACAGCATTTTTAGCTATATTTCAGGGGCCTGACAGCTGAAGATGATATTCCTAAATTCGTGCTTCTTTTCCAGATAAATGACATCAACCGCTTTAGTTAAAGACTCTTTCAAGGAGAAAAGTTTCCATGTTTAATGGGTGAAATCATCACCAACTGTTAGCTCTAGTAATGTTCTGCTCTCTGTTTGCTCTGATAAAAAGCTTCTTCTGCAGGAGAGCGTCCAGCTGCTTCACTCTCTCTGCCCTCTCCTCCTCTTCTCTC